CTAGCCCTGAAAAGAAAATCCAGCCAAGTTTGCTGGGCTAGCATGGCCCATTTTGACAGCCTTTAACAGGGAGAGCTTATTTTTGGAAGGGAGATCTGATTTTTGGAATGGAGGCCTATTTGTGAGGTCGCTGGGGGCTTAATTTTGGATTGCATTATTATATAATATGTGTAAAATATTCATTTGTGCACAGGTATTCTGGTCATGCACAAATTTATGGACTAAAAGGTTTCAATTATAGTCTCGGGATTTATTGGGGACCTGTTTATATGATCTAGCTAGGCTATCCAGAACACATGCTTGAAGCCTATCATGTTGCCTGTTAGGGATACTGTGCTTATTGTATATGGTGAATTCCTTGGCTTACATATAGCCAGGATTCTGGCAATGGAAACCTCATGCTTAGCCAGGCCAATAGTAGCAGGATAGGATAGGACATACTGGCCAATGTCGTCTCCCACCTAGCCAGGTAATATGAACAGGGCCCAATTGTGACTAGTCAGACAGATGAAGTAAAAACAATGAAGTTCATATATGTCCATAAATTTTGATACCTGAACAGCAACATTGAACAAAATCATTCTGTCCCAATGTTATCCATCTTCCTCATCTTCCTTAAGTTTAGGACTCTGAGACCAATGAGTATATTGTCATTCAAGGATTCAAAACAATAAGACAAGCGTTATGGTCAAACAAACGAAAATATTCATGTCCACAGGCTGCAACACGCGATGTTGACACATTCTGAAGTCGACCAAACGTCGAAATCGACGAAAAACGAGCCAAAAAAACAGTTATTGAGCTAATCAATCAAATAAATACTTGCCATAAGTTTGAAGGTCCATAGTCCAAATATTTGATGAGTTTCTTTAGCCCATTTATACCAACAAAATTTTAAAAATCGACATGTCAACTTGTGCCGGCCCGGAAGTGTCCTGTTTACTTGTTACACAGGATATTAATAAGTTTATGTGAAAATATGAAGATAAAAGTATATTTTAAAAAATAAAACCTCTCAAACCTCGATTTGAAAGGCTTTTAAAAACGCAAATCCGTTCGGAACCTACAAATTCGAGGGGTGGTAATTGAGCTTGCGCAAGGCAAAGTTTGAAGACCCATATCTTAGCAATCACGCAATTAATCAAAAATCGCCACGAGGAAGTTGAGGAGAATTCTTTTAAGAACAACATATATGAATTTCATGGCAAAAAAGCAAAAAACCGCTTGCAGAAGAGCTCTGAAGTAACCCCATATATTTGTTTGCAAATTTCATGTGATGAAGGGTTTTACGCATTCTGATTGGCTTAGGGCAAAAATGTAAACAAAAGCGCTGATTGGTCGAGAACGAAATTCCCCCTTGTTTCCTGTAGAGTACGTTATAGACTTGGGAAAGCATTAAGAGCAGGTGAACAGGTAAACCAAGGTCGCCTGTCTGCCAACTAACTCTCATACGCTCTCATCCTCGTTTGATCCGGGCTTTAGTCGTATGGTGATCAAGACATGTGGAAGGGCCTTACTTTAGTACGAAAAGAACTATTACTAGCTTAAACTCTAAGCGCGCAAAGCATAATGCGACCATCATTTAATCAGTTTACAAATCATATATGGCCATTATGGGTCCCATTTCTTAGAAACATGGTAAATATCTCCTTACGAGAACAATTCATTTACAAATAGCTGCAATATTCAACCACTAAGCTTGAAATTTGTGCTTAACATTATGCTTTGCGCGCTTAGAGTTTAGGGAGCGGTCATTATTTATGGCAAGGGGTGGCACCGAAGAGAAAAGGGTTGGGTAAACAAAATTTTGAGTGAGTAAAAGGTTGGGTAAATGAAAAACAAAACAACTCAAGGGTTGGGTAATCAAAAAATTTATTGTCATTTCCAAAGCACGACTCACTGAAATATTGGAGACTGAAAAGCAATGTCAACAGTGATATGTCAATACAATATGTGAATCAATCAGAGTCACTATCTTGATCATTTCAGTCCGATTTGTTGCAGACAACATGAAACTTTAGAAAATTTCACAAGCCGTTATCGAACTCATGTCACAAAAATGGTAAAGGACACGTGTGACGACTGAATGGTTTTCAATTTGTAAAGTTTTTGGCCAGGGGTGGGTATTTATTTTTTAATTGATATTTGAGGCTGGGTAATCAAATTTTTGACTTTTTAATGGTTGGGTCAGCAAAATTTTTGCCACAAAAAACATTTCTCTTCGGTGCCACCCCCCACCATAAATAATGACCGGTCCCTTAAGGTTTAGAGTTTAAGGTTTGCAAAGGACAATCTTTTTTGAATTGGCTGTATTTAATGACTAAGAGCATAACGAGAGAAAAAGTCGCGAAGGTCATGATTAAGCATCTTTTAAATTGCACAATCAAGAACCCAAGCACACACTGACTGCTCAAGGTGAGGAAGTCGAAAATGACATGTTACACTTAGAGAAAGCCTGGCAGGGGTAGTAATTGAATTATTCCATGAAATGGGACGTCTTCATTCTGAATGCCGGTTGACATTATGCTTTTCTTACATATCATAATCTCCAGGTTGATGTTAAGAAACTAATGAAGCAGTTGGATAGAGAAAGAATTGATCTAGAAGGACAGTTAAAAGATTTGGAATGGAGGTTAAATAATGAATCAAGGGTAAGATATCGTTTTCCGTGAACGACTCAGAGAATATGACAGCGAGGGAGACTAGGGTAGCTTCTCTTGTGATCAAACCAATATCAGCAATATGCAATGATAAAAGGGAAAAGTAAACGAAATTCGTTTGTAGGAGCTAGTCTTACAAGGCTTTGAAAGTATCTCATGTTCCAATAATCCGATCCTACAGTAATAGCCAAAGGTTTGGACGATGTTATATATAAGCAACTTTAAGCAACTCTTTATATGCATCCATGAATTATAAACACTTATTTCACTTTATTTTAGTCCTTTCATAAACTGGAGGAAGACCGGAAAATGTATGCGACTGAATTACGAGAGGTATAATATAACTCCTAAATTATATTGAATTATTGACAGAAATTTAATTCATGATTCATGTGAAAAGATGCAGGGACCATAACTAATAAGATATACCACAGCATTGTGGTTACTGTATAAAGATTTTAAAAAAAACTATGAATAACTAGAATTATCGAGATAATTGTGCATGGCGTATATTTTTTAGACAAGGGCGGTAATTGGTGAGACTAAAGCTAAGCATCGATATGTCCTCAACGATATGCAAAGAGAAAATGAGTCAAAACAATGGCCTGAAAAAAGGTTAGTTTGAAACGACCAAAATAGTGTAGTGAAAAAGGTTACATTGTACAAACATATGTGTAATGTGGTGTGTTTTGTAAATGAAGGTCTCGCATACGCAGCCGAGGGGTGTATATTTCTCCAAAAATCCTGGTACACTTTCCCAAGAATAAACACAACTTTAGAGAAATCCCTAAAATCCCAAATCTTTATATGAAATAAAAATCTCACAAAATAGCTAAAAATCTGCAAAATCCCTTTCAAAATGCCCAAATCCTAAAATCTTGCCAAAAATATCCTTTTATAGAAGCTTTAAAACCTCTGAAAATCTCATTCAGTGTACATTTAGTCAATTTTAGTGTTTTATAATATTGATCACACTGTTAAATTTGTGCGAATGGGGACGAAATGATTATTCGGAAATTATATTTGGAAGTATTATCAATAAAAGTATAGTTAACGGATGTGATTAATGTAGGG